GCAACTCTTCTGATATTTCCAGAATATGTCTAGGAAGTGTCAATCTATCTAATATACACGACGGCTCTCTTTGATTACTATTTGTGATATACCCTCAAGAATGATTTATAAGAGAAAACATTCCACAGTCAAGCAACTTGCAAATCACGTCGTGTTCTGGGAATTTATTAAGTAATGAAAATCAATATAAAATAAAATAATATTAATATAAAAATAAAAAACATTGAACTCTGTGCGGTCGGCCTCCACGTGATATATTCAGTAGAGGACTCATAGAAAGCGGCGCTGAGGAAGGCGAAACCCGCCGAAACGTCAGTTTGTGCGTAAATAAAGAAATAAAATAGCATTTCGTGTTTGCTAAACAAGAATATAAAGAATTGATCGATCAATGCCGAGGTTAATAGAGAGTCGGTCATGGAAGTTACTAAAAAACATTTTATTCACCAGTGTTCTGGGAAGGACAAACTATAAATAAGTGTGTTGATTACATTCTAGACTGAAAATACGTTTCAATAGCTTACTTGGAAGGGATATAAGCTTCGGCATGTATTAGCATGCTACTTTGTTACTGTTCTGTCTTTTCAGGAATCGTTTGCTGAGAAATCAACATGATCAACGACTTAGCGCCAGAGTTGAATAAAGAAAAGCGATTGACTTGAGGTGCCTTCAAGAGCATCAAGTATGTATTGGAGCGAAGAAAGAACACATGGCTCCGTGTTCATCTTTTCGACTCAACGATTCTTCCAGCCTTAACGTATGCGTCAGAAACCTAGTCGCTACGTAAACAAGATGAAAGGATTACTTAGCGTTATGGATGGAAAAGACGATGATCAGGGTAATCCCGTATCAACCAACTGAAGGAAGAGATCCGAAGCTCCGACCTACGTCAACAATTAAAAAGCAAAGATGCAGTTCTATACGCCAAACTTTTGAAGATAAGGTGGGCTGGACTCTTCATGGGTATGAACTAACAGCGATTGACAAGAGTCGTTAGTAACTGGATTTCAAGCGATGTCAAGCGTCCCGCAGGAAGACCACCGCCCCGATGGTCTTCCTGCGGTACGTTTACGCGGATCGTTGTTTAAGAAAACCGTAGAAGAAAGGTATGATGCTCAATGAGTCTCTAGAGCGGGCAGGACCCACTGGATTTGTACGGGACAGGTAGAAATGGGAAGTTTCCCGGCTCCATCTCGAGCCACTCTACCATCGACGAGTCGACTCATTCGCCACTAACCGGCATGATGAGATCCTCAATGAGGGAGATATGTCGAATGAGATGATGGTAGTGATTAGATAATGCTGAACATAAAGGATAAAAATAAAATGGTAAAGCTATCGGCATTGATCAATCCCTGAGAGAAGCACCATGCATTCGACTTCATTAGGCATCGTTTCGAAGTGATTTAATGCATATCTGACCTTCACAATGATTCGCAGTGGCCTGCCGATATATCGAACCAGTGCTGCTATCCTCCCAAGCGAGTCTGGTACCAATTTGCTGAGTCCAGAGGGATGGAGGGCTTGGTGGGCTACCGGCGCGAGGGTCGATCCCACGTGTGTTGCATGACGCCTCTGGCCACTGCGCCACATGCACCCTCAAGCCGAACATGTAAGGTATATCACAAACCATTATACTATCAACTTCCTGTGATGTCGTGAAATCGAAGGCAAAGAAATGGAAAAAGTTCTGCTAGAGAAAAGTATCATTAAATTACGAAAGGTAAAGCGCTCACTGTTGATAAATTCCCGAGGGTGCGATTTCAGCAGACGTTTTCGACAGCATAACTGGCTCTTACAATGACCTGTGGTAACTTACCGGTGTATGAAGGGATTTTTTATCCTCTCAGACAAGTCTAGAACCAATTTCTCATCACCGGAGAGGTGGCAGGATTGATGAGAACGGGGAGCTTAATGGGATCAGTGATCTATTCAGTATCTATACTAGGGCACCTATCACCAATACGCCACATGCACCGCAGTATATCACTGGAGTATAATGATCTCAAAAATGTGAATATTGTGTTAAAGTAGGACGAATGTGGTTCAACGGGGCACAGTTTTCAACGTTTGTTCCTTGATGACGATGGATAAAACAGGTACGAATGTTCTCATGCATCTGCATGTTACGTTTCCTATTGTTCGGTGTCGACTGCATTCTTTTAAATTTTGTGTTCATTTCCCTTATTTGGTCACATTACAAATTTGTTGTCCCAGTTTCATCACGTTAGACGGAAGAAAAGTGAATCATTCGAGCTCCACAACTATGCATTAAACAACGTCCTCATTCCATTACATGTTGGATGCACAATTTCAAACTTATTGACCACGAGGACGAAATTAAACCTGCTAGCCGTCGATACATAAATCTTCCAAATCGTTTGCACGGAACATTCAGGGGCTACCTACTTTGATATTCATAATGCCTATCGCTTCCCAACGGTTACCGCTTCATCGGGGCTAGGAGGTGTTCTTGCGTGTAAGACTGAGATGTACAACGGGGATTCATCCCCTGGCAGAGTCCCCCAAGCTGAGGAGTCCTGCGTTTCCATTAAGAAGCCTAAGTAAGAGTAAACCAATACCAGGATCCACCACCGTCTTGGCATCAAAGCTGCATGGTGGCAAACTTCGCTCTGATTCACAAAGGTGGCGGCTGTCTGTGGTGGTGACGTTCTGGAGTAGAACTTGACCAGGCTAAGCTCGGCACTCCAGGGAACCACAATGGCCTAACCAGCAAATCCCCAAAAAATGGAGAGCTGCGGGGGTCCGCACAGTCAGTGAGGACGGGCCATTCAAGTATCAAGTAAGTAACGCCCATCTTTGAAAGTCGACAGGACATCTAGCTATTTGAGCTAGTTGACTTTCTCACAGGTCATGAACCCTTTTCTTCCAAACATATGTTGTCATATGGGTTGAGTCCGTAGAATCTGGTCATCAAATTCTAATCATGTCGGTTTCAATATGAGCCTTGGAACTGCGCATCTCTTCATGTTTCAGCTCGGATTGCAGGGAAAAGATGTAGTTTTTCCCAAGTGAGGTTCCTAAAGTTAGGAATGCAGTTTTTGGAACAAAACAAATTAGTCTAGAATTTTTCGGCTATCAGTTCTAAACCAATGCGCCCAGTTGTAGTAACCGAATCTTCGTTCATTAGCGCTGGCAGTAAAACATTATATTCACAAAGGCTTCGACAGAACTTTTTCATACTGGTTCTTTTTTAGCTACTTACGGAAACTCTTTTCTTCCGCATACCGTTGCAAGTCCTCTGGAAAGGATCTTTTCGGGTTAATATTCATTACCAATCGTATTCGATGTGATACAGTTGGATCTAGCTTCAGTTCTGTTTCCACTGGTAGTGAGAGATATAATTCGAACTTCTTGAAGAACTAGTGTGTTTTCAGCTATATTGCTCTGCTTAATACTAGCTAATCCGATTGCTACAGGGTGCAGTGTGACCAGGAAAGCACGATGAAATGGATTGCAGTAGATAACCAGCCATTCTGTATAATAGCAGACTCCCCTCAATTTCTCACAAACTGCAACGCGGGAGCTCCATAGCCGACAAAAGACCGAACTTCACTTCAAGCTTGGATAATTAAGCTCCCATGTACAAATATTGTAAAAATAGTAAAGCAACGATCATAACACAGTACAGCAAGTGTTTGAGTATTTAGCACCAACTTTGACTCTATGATAAAAGACGACGAGTGGGTGGAGTCAAAAATAATATAGTCTGTGCTAGACATGAATATGGGGAGTTGGAAGCATGATGAAGAGTTTCGAATACCGGATTCGCTGCCCACTGTATACCAACTCCAGACCGAACTCTCTGCCGTATGCGAGGCCATTTCTAGTGTTTTCACAGTTGTGTGGGTGCGGATACAAAAGCATTATGAACAATTTTTAGCTAAGTGTGAGGCGTAAACATGAGGTAGCTAATACTCCAAAGAAATATTGACCATTCATGCCTAGCTTAAATGATATTCGATTTTAAGTCATTTCGTATTGTTTGACAAAATGAGCAAGTACGTACGACAACGCCTACGCCGCAGTTGTGTGACAAGACGTTTCTTCCAAGGACGACATGTGTGAGATTGTTCAACTGAAGTATGTCGGTACTCCAGCTTCTCGGTTTCCGTAGAGCTGGATCACGAGATTTGATGCAAGCTCCGAGCTCAAGAAGACTGTGACGATCCACATTTGAGAAAACTGTTTTGATGGTACAGGTGCAAAGCATGAACCAGTTTTCATAGAGTGTTAAGATGAACACACTCTATGAAAACAAGATGATCGAATTATCCAATGCTACCTCAGAATTGGTCGACACTTATTTCATGCAGCTGCTTCGTAAGGAAAGCTCCCAGTTGAAGGAGTTATGAAGCTGGTTTATTAGTAATTGAGATATTCGCTCTATCCCTTCATATTACGAGGTAGTCTTGCGGGGCGACTTCCGATGCCATCACAACAAGCAACCGCTGGTCTTTGCAAAATCGAAGGAACGTCTTCTGCTTTGTAGCTAGGATGGTATCAGGATGTTAACGATTGCTACGATTAAGCGCGATCAGTGTACAACAACGTAGCAGATCAAGGACATAGAAAAATAGGTGTTGTCATAGTATTTTTATAAAGAAGGATGTAATCAATAGAAACCACCTGTCCTAACTAAAACAGCATCAGGCACAGTAAAGAATATCGAGGATCATGATAGTTGTTCACCAATATGAAAACCGCGGAAAGTATATCTAAAAGGAAACGCGCATAACAGAAAAGTATATACATAAAAGTGTTGCAAAAAGTGTGAATATTAAAATAAAAGTACTACTTTGGTCATTATATCACATTTCCGACGCATCTTAGTCAACAGAACACCTGTAAGGAAAAAAGAAAAAATAGGATTCACGATTACTACACGGTACCATAGCTCGCCCTACAAAATTGTAATCCTTCTAAACGTCCAGACCTCTTTGCAGATAACCAACTTCTTACACAGGAAACGAGAATTATTGCTAAACACCGGAATATAAGGAAAAAAAGTACACATATAATAAGAAAACAGGATAGAGAAGCAGAGGTTTTTTCGATTGCAACTCGTCCACGCACAACAAAGTACCGGCACTGTAAACACTCCAAATGACACCAAAGATACCAAGCGGTAACGAGATAATCTTAAACCTGAAATTCAGACAAAACCATGATGGTCTAGTTTTCTCTGTAGCTTGTGTATAAAAGGATAGTAAAAGGATAAAGCTCTCGGCATTGATTAATCCCTTAGGGATGCGCTTAGCATTCGACTTCACTAAGCAGCTTTGGAGGTGATTGAATGCATATCTGACCTTTGCGATAACTTGCGGTGGCCTATCAATGTATCGAACTAGTGCTGCTATCCTCCTAGACAAGTCTAATACCAATCTGCCGACCCCGGAGGGACGGAAGGCTTGGTGGACCTGAGCGCCAGGACCGACCCCATGTTTATTGCAGGGTGCCTTCGAGCACTGCGCTACACGCTCCCTACGCTTAAAAGAAATATGCCAACAAAGTAAATGGTTAACAACATGTGACACCGATGCATGTGAAACTTATCGTAACTAGTTGTCAACACCATTATTTTCTGATAATTTAGAGCAATTTTTAAATGTATGAATACAAAACTTGTCAGCACTTAAAAAATCCCCAAGTTCAACTTTAACCCTACATCTAGCAAAATAAGGGGACTAATGTGCTGTGCTGTGTTGGAATTAAGGCGATACGGTGTTCTTATAGAACAGCAACTACTGCTAAAAAACATATACGTCTCAGAAATCAGTCTACTCGTCATTAGAAAAAGAAATGTAGTAAATTTCGGCATAAAGTTGCTAAATGAAATCCAAGAAATACCTAACGCTTATTTTACAAACAAAGTAACTAAAAATGCAGACTTACTTAGCAACAACACTCATAAGTAATCCAGTAACGACTAAAGGAATAAGGCAGTAACCAATAACTCCGAGAACCTAAAAAAACGTAAAACAAAATAAAATGTTATACCACAGTAGGAAATTGAAAAAAGCTTTATAAGCAAATTAGCCAAATGGACCTCTCCACAGCGGAGTCAAATATATAGCGAATTCTCAAGATCTCAAACGATCACGTCTCACAAAATAAAACAATCCACAAACACCATCAATATTATTAGAAAATATCTGCGCTTCATAAAACAGAGCCCATCTCTTTAGAGAAACTACAGCTGTACTTCTGCAGCACTATGCAGACCGTTTTGGAATATTCGTGTCTCATAAATATTATGTAACATCCATACACAGTTCTTCATGCATACTTTTCCTCTATTCTTCATGTTAATATATCTACAACTGTCAGACGTACTTTGTAACTCACATTCAACGACAACAGACCTCATTTGTTTCTACTACACCCGCTCTACTTATACTCACCTGAGAATATCCAACATCTCCACCAAGAGCTCGAGCTATAAAGTAGACAATGAAACCGCCGCAAAACCACATTGTCAGAATCCACGAGACGACCTAGGTATTACGGCGATATGTTCACATAGTTCACTCTGACCTCCAAAACATCATATATAGGTTTTGCTACTACTAAGTAAATTTGAACCGAAATACGACTTAAGTAAGCGACCAGTTTCACAATTCGAAATAAGTTCTGTTTCATCGTGGAAAAACATCCTGGACTGACAATGCTTCATAAAAACGATGTTCTCGTACAAGAAATCTACGTATGGCCAAAGAACATTCCGTTTGAAAACACGACACATTTATGGTTGACAGCACCTATAGCTTATAACAACGCTGAGAGAACGGTGAAACGACGGACCCGCATGGTGTGGTGGTTCTAAACACGTTAGCCCATGGAAAGAGTAATAGCGGGTTCGATCTCCACCGCAGACACCTATGGTCCGGAGTTTTGCAAATATCTCGGTGTCATTGTGGTTATATTTCATCCATGAAAAAAAATAGGCAGTAGATAAAAAGTACTACAACACAACTGTCTTAAAATCGAGTTCAGGTTTAGATTGTCACTGACAAAAACATTATTACACTTACACTAAACTGGCCATATATTGATAGCAATGCATAGGCCAGTACAACCAGCAATGGCCCCCAGAAGTCAGGCGATTCTCTCACGATGTTGAGCTTCATACGAAAGTACGGCAATGGTAATAATATACAACGTATTTTATAGTAGATATCAGTAAGATCAATATCCAACTCCTCTCTGAAATAAAAGATGGTAAAGATGCACCGTACTGAATATTCTGTGCGAGATCGTTTCAGTTCGTAATGATGACATAGGTGCCCAATTTCTAAAAAGCTGCCATCTTTGGTATGATGCTTTCTTCGAGACCCATATAAATGCGTCAAGGCAATAACAATCACCGTTCTACGCATTTAATGTACCTTCTACCACTCCTGATCGATTCATAGAATTTAAATATGTAGAACTGAGTATGGAGCCAATTTTGGCCTGGTTGACCCTGGGACTCCCGGAAACTACAGTGGCTAAAGCAGCAGGACTCCAAAACAATGGAAATTATGCTAGGGCCCGCATAACCCGTGAAAACGGACCATTCAAGTACCCAAGCAGGTAAGAATTGAGTATGGATGTAGTACTCTTGATGAATTAGTTCGTGAAAAGTTCTCTCGATTGTATATTTCGTGTAAAAGTTATATATTAACCCTGAACGAAAGCAATATGGACCGTCCCCATGGTTACTTCTTAGTTATCTACGCAGCAAGATTTACATAGCGAACGTCCAATGAACACTGTGGGTTTATAAACGTATTCAACTAAAACCACACAACAAAATAATCATCTGAACATAAAACAATGTGGCACTTTTTCAAGTAAGTCACCCCCACATGATTAACAAAATACACCTCAAGATTTTCGTAAAAGCTTGAGTATTGATGCAGAAGGGTAGTAAATACCAGCCTCCTTTAACACTGCAGATCATTTGAAATTAAATGTTTAGTGAACAGAACGGTTGTCTAAATACTATCAACTGCTCAACTATTGCACTTGAAGGAACATAATCAGGAACAGTAACTCCAAACCAACTTCCTTTTAACCTCGGTATGACAAATCATCATGTGTTTAAATTGCTGAGTTTACACGAGGTTAATAAAGATGTCTACTCAGCTACGTCTCGACGTCTTCGTCTTTATCAGAACCGATGACCCGCGTCGATGGCCCATAGTTGTTCTTCTCGATGTGGCGTCTAACGATGATTCGAAAGTTAGTCGAATACACATCTTCATGCACCTTGTGTAAGCTCAAAAATTTAAACACTTAACCAGGAACTTTATGACAACATGTGGCCAATAACGTCACCTTACGTTTCTCTGAGCGTTGTTGATTACTTTCATCTATGCCTATCTTCTATACTCATACTTGTGCCCTTATTTGACAAAAAAATAATAACAGCCTATATTTACAGACAATCTTACAGTAACGGCGTCTGCGTGTCGCAGTTGTCATCAACTTCCAGAAGCCAACCGAACCCACGACTTTCTAACAGTCGACCTGCAGCTCCCATTTGAGCTCTGGAGCGCACATATGGTGGAATACTACCGGAAGGCATCGTTGACGACCCAACACCATGTCCTAAACCTTCAAGCTCACATTTACGGCATCCATAATCAGAATAACCACTATATAATAAGCAAGAACAATACTTGGCTGAGTAGCTTAACTTTGTTAATAAAGTAGTTCAGTAAAACATCTGATAAAAGTTTCATTAATTTTAATGGTTTTAACGCCAAGCAGGTACAAGTTGGGATGACGGCAATCCTGCCTTTGATAGATTGGCAAAAGAAACTACAACTTATAACATGTGGGAGGTTAAGCAAAAGTAGCGCTGGAAAAACTATCGCTAGGTTGTGCTGGATCCCAGAGCTTTTCACTGAGCTCTACTCACCTGATGTACCTAGAAGCTCCGCACTTCCCTTAGCACCTTAGAAATGTGACCATCCAGACAGTTTTTCCTTTTGCGCTACTTTCATCCTGTAGAACCCGGTCTACAACATCTGTTCTAGGTTGAGTGCTGTTCAGGTAAACGTGTTTGATGCAGTCCCTCACACGTTAGCATATTCCGTGAAGGATATTATTTTTGAGCGGTAACACAGGTCAGAGCTATAAATTCTTTTTCTCGTCTCTTTATAAGGGACACTTCTAGCATCACGTCGTTAGCATCATGGATAACGCTGAGCGCCTTTTCGTACTGATTGCATATGTCCAGATTTCCCAGATGCAATTTAAGGCAGAAAGAACCAAGGCCCCCAAAAGGTAGGTAAGCAGCCGAGCGTTATTTGCCTTCCTCACTAGCTTCTCGACGCTCTAGTAGGCTTTCCATGCCAATTATTTCCTCTAGATCACTTCTAGAGTCAAGTAGTTCACTAAATTGATTCCCGAGCAAGATTTATAGTGTAGAACTTCCAGAGACACTATTTCCACTGGATGTAAACGAGGAAAAGGAAACAAATCCGGTTATAGCGAACAGATACTGTTTTAGATTCAACTTAAAATCGATTTCTTGTCCATTTTCGAAATTGTACTTTATTTGTTCTGCACGATCAATGCATGATATTATTAGAGCAACTTCATCCGCAGGAAGAAGATAGTATACTTACCGACTCTCGTCTTCATACCGATGCTATCATATCCCAGTTTTCGTACGATATCCTTAAGATTTGCGCCAAGCAAAGTGATTTTGGGAAGACTTGTCAGATTGCCATGTTTGCTTTGACTATGATGTCCTTGCAGTTGCCGAGTGGTAAGAGAAGCACAAGATTACTCTAATGAGCAAGGATCCTGGTTCTCCACAGTCGCCATGAAAGCACACGTCTCTATTGAATCAAAGGCCATATTTGGGTAGACTAAATCAGTATTTTTCAAACCGACCATCATAAAATTCAACCTCGGAATCAGTAACGAATGTTTTCTTTAGATTATTAACCTAACATGCGGTTGATAAAAAGTTTTAATCGGCTAACGTTTCGACGTTTTCGTCTTCCTCAGAGCCGATGGCCCACACAGGCTCGTCCTCGCGATGTGGCGCCTTCATCGTCAAATCGATGCGACCCCCACCTCGACCTCGTTATCAACCTCGTGTTAGCTCGATAATCAAAGAAGATGTTACTTGAATGAGACAAAGTAAGGTCTGCATGTTCGCGAAAAGTGGATTAGTCTCGTTGTCTAATTGATATGATCCAGTTATGTCCATATCTTTCCCAAACCTTGCTTCTGTACTATACAATAACTGCTGGGTCGTATAGGTCCTATTTCGAGTGTGAAAAACATGCCGCTGGTACTCCGTTGACCGAGAACCGTGTATTCTGATATATCATATACGAATTGGCGAGAAGCTCAACTTCACAGATGTTTTAATAGAGCTAGAGTTTATTTTGCTCAAATCCTGTAACGATGTACAGCGTCAAACTTTCGCGAGTCCAATTTGTATTAAACAGACCACTAAAGACTGGATGGAATAATTCTAAAAACTAAATATGTTAGGCAAGCAAGACTTGGAACTATTAGAAAATCCTAGTTGACTAACAGATTTCAAAGCTAGCCAGATAAATTTCCATTCGAAAAGAACAAAAGTGCAGGCCAATAAAGGAGAAGTGGAGCGGATAACACAGTGGTAGTGATGCCGCTCATCACGAACTCGGCGCCCGTTTAATTTTGCTCCGGGCTCACCAATCCTCCCATTGCTTAGGGTTCGGGAAATTGGTACTGGACATCTCCGGGGAAGAAACCACTCTCTGAAATGCAAGTGGGAAAGCTCCAGCCCGGCTATCTCAGGAGTCCAGTAGATATCGACTCAACCAGTATTCTATGACATTCAAGATGAAATGAAAACCCTCAAGTAACAGCCAACCAAAGCAACACGTAAAAGTTCGAAGACCTTCGAGATGATGGATGCGAGGAGACGAATAGAATGTGAGAAGTGCAGAGATCCACATAGTAAACGTGAAGGAGGATCGTATACAAATAAAAAAGTAAATTAGAAGCGGGTATGCTATTTTGAAAGCACCAATTTGGGGTCATTAACGTATAAACTCCTATTCGTCCTATACAACATCATACTATCACCCTATACAATATCCTAGTCCTTTTCCATACAGTAGCGTCCATCGTCATCCTATACAACATACTAGTCCTATCTTATACAGTCCTATACATCATCCTATATTCATCCCATACATTCCCATCCTATACAACTCTATTACTCTTCCATACATTCCTATACATCCCCATATACGACACCCTATTTTTATCCTATACTGTCCTATACATCCTTATTCTATACGACATCCCAGTCCTTTACCCTACAGTTCCACATATCATCCCATAGAACATCTTAGTCCTATCCTATGCAGTCTTATACATCCTCATCCTATATTCATCCTATACATCCTAATCCTATACGGCATACTAGTCCTACCCTATACGATCCTATACATCCTTATCCTCTATTCATCCCATACATCCTCATCCTACACAACATCCTATACAAGCAAGGAAGAAGTCCTCTAAGGAATTTCCCAGAAATACTACGTAATACGAGCCTGACTTGTGCTGCTGCGGCGTTGACGTGCTCAATTCGAAATCACCAGAATCGTAAAAGCCAAGAGTGTCCACATTGGCAGCTGTGCCCAAGTCAATGGCGATGTGTGGAGTCCTCGTAGCGCAACCAGGTGACGATGCCATCTAGGTAGTAGAATATCTCGAAATCACTCTTTAATCGGAATACAAACTTTGACAACGACAACGAGTATAAAAACTAATGGAAAATGTTGATTAAATAAAAACACTCCACTAAAAATGCACGTAAACCGAATTGACTCTGTCTAAATCAGATAACCGCGGTAGAAATCCCAAATCCTTTCAGGGCTTCTCATCCAGAACGCAGAGATCCAGAGTGGACACGGAATGAATACGAGTACGACGTGTGACGTGTAACGTGTGTGGATCATGCACCACTTGCACCATATCACACGTCGCAGAAAAACTGCGCCCGATGCAACTTTAGTTCTTGCTCGAGTATTTCAAGTATTGTGTTTGGACTGTAGATCCTTAAAAGTCTTCTTCTATGTCTCTGTGGGCCTTAGTTTGTCGTTACATAAGAGATTTTTGTCTGTTTAATCCTGCCTTCTTCATCTACTTTCTCTCAGTGCCGTATTCTAACTATTCCGCTTTTAACAGCTGTTTTTACCCCTCAGATTCCATGTTTTCCTTCAAGCATATAAGTCAAAAATTGGTTTTGTATCTAAGTTTTAGCAGAAAAGTTAAAGAGAGAGTCGCTTTGCTTCTTCTTTGATTGACCTAAAGAAGAGCTGAAATGTCAAACCTCAGAGTCAGACGATTGTTTCCGATTTGTGTTAGTCACGATGTCTTGTGTATTTTTAAAACCATTTGTATGGGTTTTAATAAGGAAGGTTACTGATATGTTTTCTACTTAACTGGATACTGGAAACACTCTGTTGGGATCTAAAGAACGATTTTATACGTTTCTCCATCAAACAGTTTTTATTATTTTAGACGAAAAAGCGGTTCATCAGGAAGCGCACCTAAGTGTAAACCAATACCAGGAACCACCTCCGTCCTGGTATCAAACTAGTCGCATGGTGGCAAATCTCTCTGTGGTCCACAAGGACGGCGACTGCCTGTGGTGGTGACGACCTGGGGGTAGACTTTGGTCTGGTTGACCTCGGGACTCCAGGGACCACAGTGGCTAAACCAGCATTCGGTCCATCCACGTATCCAAGTAGGGTTACTGTAGCTTCCGTTAATATTTTAACTTTTTGAACTTGGCCGTTTTGAGTCAGTGAAGTCTATGGCGAAGTAGGGTACAATCGTCCTGTTTGGAAGATAAATGTTCTAAGAACCTTTTCCATCCATATGAATATGGGCTTTTGTGAATTGTAGCCCAAGTCTTTGTGCAGCTTTGGACCTGTTAACTGATGAATGATGGAATGTAACAGGGTTCAGTCGAGTTGAAATTTCTAAAGCTTTTTTTGCAAGTACTCTGCCTATCGTCATATCTAAGTCCTCATTAAGTAGCTCCTAAAAAGGATTAACAAATGTACATACTTTATGGGCTGCATATCGGCAAATGAACTTTCTTTATTACAATGTAGATGTACAGGTTTCCCTAGAAAAGCGCTTATAGGATTAGTGCGTGTGCCGTTTTTATTTGTTCAGATAGGCTGAATTCCCTAGTTGTCGTCTCTTGAATATCGTATTGCATTGTAGAGCGGAATTTTTTATTCCGGTAGGACTAGGACTAAAGTGAAAGGCAGTTTGCCATTTGTACTTTGAGGTTTTAAAAAAGGATAAAGCTCCTGGTGTTCAATCCCTGAGGGATGCGCCATGCATTCGACTTCATTAGCGGCCTATCGATGTATCGAGCCATTGCTATTGTCCTATCCCCAGACAAGTATGGTACCAATTCGCCGGCTCCGGTGCAATGCAGCGCTTGGTGGGCCTACGTTGCCAGGATCGATCCCATGTGTATTGCAGGGCGCCGCGGAACACTGTGCTACACGCACCTCTTTTTGAGACTTAGCTAAGAGTCACGCTACGGTATAGTAGATTCCGATGAGATACCTGTGGCTACTTTTTCGACGAAGGTGATAAGTACTAAACTTGCATAAGTATGGTATTCTCTGAGTTTCTTTTGCAGGTGGAGTCCAGTGGACGGTTTCGTTGCGTAGGGTCGTATCATGAAATTTAGTGATGCCAGTGTGTCCTTGACCAGGAACAGGAATACAGGTAAAGGTAGGTGCGATATCACGGACCTGTCATATGAGATGTCACTAGTGGGTTAGTCCGCATGTCTACATGGTGCGTGTCCATGCCTAAGTGACTTTTATTAGTGTCAAAGGTTCAGCATACTGCCATAAGCTGGTGGTGTATCATATATGAATCGGGGTCGTCATGCTTTCCTGTCAGGTGTATCTGGCTTGTAAATTGGCTCCAAAACTTGGAATCAAGTAACTAGGAGATGCACCGAAGGTCTGTCCAGTTACAGTTTGAAAGTGGGCAAGCCGTGATTGTCAGGAGCGGCGCTCTTCAATAAAACTCTTTCGAGGGGCGCGTGTAATACAGTGGTCGGAGGCGCCCTGCAATACACACGGGATCGATCCCCGCGCCGCGCCCCGGGCTCACCAAGCCCTCCATCCCTCCGGGGTCGGCAAATTGGTACCAGATTTAGGAGCAAAGCAGCACTGGCTCGATTTATTGGCAGGTTACCGAGAGTCATTGTAAAGGTCAGATATGCATTCAGTCACCTCCAACGATGCTTAATGGAGTCGAATGGACTGCGAATCCCTCAGGGATTAATCAGCGGGTAGAGCTCTGTCTTTTTTATTTTGGGATAAAGTCATATAGGACTAGAGTTTTGTTATAAAATGCACGTAAGTCAGGAATAGGTGGGAGTATCACGAGTAATTAGAGTAACTTGTTGGTTTTCCATGCATACAAACTGCGAAGCATCGGTGTTTGAATGTATGTCTACCACCAAAAGTCACATGTGTATTGAACGCCGATGTAGAACACCAGGGTGTCACAAGAAATCTGTCAATGGTCTGTTTAATATTTGTTGAGAATGCCAGTATTTTTGCATCAGGAGTATAGCAACATGTAAACTTTAGCTTCTCCGTCACTTCATATTGATCTCAGTACTCGCACATTGACGTTGGACCGTTTATGAACTCATCGATGAATCTTATGTGAACGCATTGTAGTTGCAGTGCAACTTATTTACGTGGAATCTTTTTAGTGGTTGGTCACAATGAGACCTATCGCTTCGTTTACGTTTGTCGTCTTAGTGGAACTCGCCTCTGGCCTTCGTTTCAATGTGCCTGCAAACAATAAAAAGTGCTTGAAGGAGGAGATTCACAAGAACGTCGTGGTCACTGGAGAGTACGAGTTTAGTGGAGGAATCGGGTATTCAGGCAGTGTTCATGTTAGTTTTTTTCCCATTTTTTTTTCATTTTAGTCTTTGTTCATTTGGTACCTCTTATTTAGTTTTCTTCTATGGCAAAGCCTTTTGCCGTAGGAAGTTATAACAAATTATTATTTTCTATAATGCGGAGATATTTGCAAAAGTCCGGATCGCAGGTGTGTGCGGTGAGAAGCGAACGCCCTATTGTCCTTTCCGGGGAGTAACGCGTTCACCACCACACCATGCGGGTCATTTGTTTCGCCTGCCTCTCAGCTAGTTCTATCGATCAGTGCCGCCAGCAATCACCCGTCAACGGGATTGATGTGGGGAGCTCAAATCGGCATTGAACCCAGTTAAGCTGAGACTATAGTTCTAATCGCAATCTTAACCTTTTTATTTACTGCCTATTCTCACGGGTGATTGCTGATGGCAAAAGAGCGTTAGGACTAGCTGAGACACAGGCGAAACGAAGGACCCGCATGGTGTGGTGGTCAACGCGTTACTCCCCGGAAAGGACAATAGCGCGTTCGTTCCCCACCCAGACACCTGCGGTCCGGAGTTTTGCAAATATCTCAGCATTATAGAAGTTATATTTCGCAACATACCCTCTCGTTAAAAAGAATAGGCAGTAAATAAAAAGGTTACAAATTTTTTTTTATTCTTTTCGACTAAAGCAGATAAAAGTATGAAGGGATTAAGCTGTCGGCGTTGATCAATCCCTGAGGGATGCGCCATGCATTCAACTTCATTAAGCATCGCTCGAAGTGATTCAATGCATATCTGACCGGCTCGCTGTGGCCTAACGGTGTATCGAGTCAGTGCTGCTATCCTCCCCGACAAGTCTGGTACCAATTTGGCGACCCCGGAAGGATTGAGGACTCGGTGAGCCTGGGGCGCGGGGATCGATCCAATGTGTATTAACAGGGCGCCTCCTACTACTGCGCTAAACGCACCTCTTATCACATCTATCTCACAAAACTGACAATGGTTCAGTAATTATTAGAGGGATTTTTGATTCACGAATTTGCAATATTGGTGATTTGGGCATCAGGTGGAGTATCCGTCATTCCCCACAGAGTTGCGTTTAAATCCAATCCCGGTTAACAGATAACTCCCATTGGTATTTTTCCGACAACTGACGATGATTCCTCGATTACTGGAGTAGTTGAGGAGATCCTGTAGAGGAGACTTTGCTTTACCGCTTAAAGGACGTCCATATTTTTTTTATAAAGTATTTTTTCACTTAAATTTTTTTATAATGAAAGTTTTCAATTAACTGGAAACAAATTTTAAACGGAAGCCACACAGCCGCAAGCTTCAGCGTTTTGTGGAGGACTAACCAGTTGCTGCTTCGGTTTACGAAATACGAGTCTCGATAGAAAGCACGGAGAAGAATGTTGCATAGTGCAGAAAATCGAACATCTAGGTAGTTTTTTATCTTGGCAGCACAAACCAGTGGTGCGTTTTGCAAAGTGGTCGGAGGCGCCCTGCAATTCGCATTGAAGCGATCGCAACGACCATAGCCCACTAAGCCTTCCATCCCTCCGGGGTCGGCAAATTAGTACCAGACTTGTCTGGGAGAATAGCAGCGTTAGCTTGATACATCGGTAGGCCACCGCGTGTCATTGTAACGACCAGATATGCATTAAGTCACCTCTGACGTTGCTTAATGAAGTCGAATATATGGCGCATTCCTCACGGATTGATCAACGCCGAGGGCATTATTCTTTGTTGTCAATTATTGAAGCTCACTGAGCTCAGATATGTGTGTTTAAATTAACAGTACCAATCGTTTTTCCACCACATCATCGAGCCCAATACATGCTGCGCGTTGTATGTTCAGTTATTGCTGTACAAGGTTCTATTGTGGTAAGGTTATGCTCAAATACTGAACTTCATGAGTTGGACCTCTATCGGTTTACTGTTTCTCAGTCTTTTTTCTCTCGCATGTGTTAAAACTTTAGTTCTTGGGATTGTTTACTTCTTTCTCATGCGGGGCGTTTAAAAAAACAACTCGAAATCACGTTTATTTTTATCAGTTTCACTTTCTCATTGTTAGATATTTCTTAAATGATATCTCCCACTTTTCTTTTGCTTCATCTTCTACACATTTTTAAATGCTTTTTTCCTTCTACCGAGTTAATTTAGGTGACAGACACTCGTGGTCACACTTTGTACAAACGCGAAAGGTTCAGCGATTTAAAAGGCAAATTCGCCTTTACCACTGATGAGTACGACATTTTTGAGATCTGCATTAGCAATCACGGTCCTGTTGGAGCAGGTCTCTTTATTTTATCTTCATTTATTTTTTTCGTGCCTTATATACCCTACCCTCCCAACGGTTTACCGCCTCATCGTGACTGGGTGGTGCTCCTGGGTGTCGGACTGCGATTTACAGCGGAGGATTCATCTCCTGGCAGGGTCTCCTAAGCTGAGAAGGAGTCCGGCGTTCCCACTAGGATGTCTAGCTAAGAGTAAACCAATACCAGGATTCACGACCATCCTGGTACAAAGTCGCATGGTGGCAAATCTCCCTCTGATCCACAAGGGCGGCTGCGACTGCCTGTGGTGATGAAGACCTGGGACAGACTTTGGCCAGGCTGACCTCAGGATTCCAGGGAACTACAGCCGCTTAACCAGCAAATCTCCGAAAAATGGTGATTATGCTGGGGCCCGCACAACCGATGAGGATGTGCCATTCAAGTGTCAAGTGTACGTACCCTTCTCAAATTGTACTTACTTAGATACTTGGATGGCTCGTCTTCACTTGTACGGACCCCAACATATTTCCCATTTTTTTTTGAGTTTTACTGACGTTGCTGGAGTTTCGGAGCTAATGTCGTTCCCTGGAGTCCGGAGGTCAGCCTAGTCAAAATCTGCGCCTGATCGTCATCACCACAGGTAGTCATCGCCCTTGTAGGTAAGAGGGAGATTTACCACGATGCGCCTAGTTTGGTACCAGGAAGGTGGTAGATCCTGAATTGGTTCACTCTTAGCTGGGTTTCATGATGGAAAAGCCGAACTACGTCTGAGCGTGGGAGATCCTGTTGGGGAATGAATCCCCTCGCTATACATCGCAGCCTGACACCCAGGAATAAGTCCCTGCCGCGGTGAGGCGGTGAGCCGTTGAGGCAGAATGTGCTATGATGGGCAATATTTCGAATAGTATGTAAGAACATTTCCTTTGGAATAACCTAGACTTAATATCGTTTCATTGTTTATTCATTTTACCCGACTCGTCTCCACCTACTGCACGGATTACAGCATTTCCTGCATTTGATTTTCTCATCACAGCCATTAACCACAAGGATCTTCGAACCTTTGCGTGTTTGTTCGGCTGCTGCTTCAGGAGTGTCATGTTCGTTATGAATATCACCAATGCTCCTCGAGTAGATTCTCCGTGAACTCCTGGTGTAGTCGTGTTGGAGGGTCCCAAAGTGGATTGATTGGAGTGAGCTGGTCTTTCCCGACTCCGGAGAGATGAGATGATTGGTGAGCGCTGACTGAGTCAAAACAGCACCGGGTGTGCGATGAACGACAGCACTACCAGTGCGGTACTCTGAGCCTCTATTTTATCATGGATGTCGTATAAAAATGCAATGGTTTCATCCGTTTCTTTAAGGATTTGACGTGTTATTTCCTTTGCTTGCTTCGTTATAGCGATGTGTGGTTTTTAGGCCACTCACAATCTCGCGAGGTTTTGCTTAAAATGAAGCATGGTGTCGAGGCAAAGAATTATGATGACATAGCTAAAGCTGAGAAGCTGAAGCCACTAGAAGTAGGATTTCTTTCTACTTTTCATCTGAAATTTGCCTATGATGTTGCTAAAATGTTAAATCTTCTTACGTTGCTTGACATCGTTTTCTTTCTTAAGTGAAGTAGTTTTTATGTTTATTCGATTTTCAGATTTTAATTAAGGTCGAGCTGCGACGATTAGAAGATCTGTCAGATCAGATTGTTAAGGATTTCTCTTTCATGAGGCAGCGTGAAGAAGAAATGAGAAACACAAATGGTAAGCGGCACAAAAGTTTTTCTGAATAACTTTGTATTGGACACCATTTTCCGCCTATACCTTGAAACAAGGCATCGTTCTTTTTTCACCCTCCATTTCAATATGTCATTTGTGTGCCTCGGGTGCATAGCAGTTTTAGTTGACTTTAGTAGAACAACTCCCATACACCAGCTAGCAATACGTTACGTCGTTTTAGAGTCTACAAATAGTCGCGTATTATACCTATCTATTTTCTCCATGCTTTGTCTGTTGGCGTTGGCTTTTTGGCAGGTTAGTTAACGTTTTAGTACTTTAAAAAGCGAAATTTTGTCCCGGTCAGTTACTGAAGTTACATGTATTGTTTAAGGTCATGTTTTTACGCAACTATTTCAAAGCGAAGAAGCTGATTGACTGAATGAGAGAGTGAAAACGGTTCGGTTTCGTGTAAGCCACATAAACTGTTGGAAACGGTGGCCTGGGTAACTGCCTTACTTGTCTCCATTTTGTGGATGTCACCTATTTATTAACTTGAGGTTATCAGTGTGCTAACATGTGATATTCTCGTTTTTTATTCCAGTAGGTTTTCTTCCGGAATCTTCTAGATAAAATGGTTTTAAGGCTATTCATCCACTGAGTACGGTATTCGAATCTTGTGGGTAATTTGGTTTATGCTACCTTTTGTTTAATTAATCGGTATTGAATTTGTTAAAGTTGTCCTTATCTTAAGGTAACTGGGAAATGCGAGTTAGATTAAGGTTTTCCCAGATTTAATTTCACGACTTCATTTTATTTATGATGGATATGTACTTAATCAATAAAATACAAATAGATGACGATTTGTGTGAGAGGCATTAAGGCAGACACACTGCTTCTTTCAGATTTCAAGGAGTAGTATTCCTTTTGTCGTTGTGGTGAAAGTGTTTCGACGAACTTGAAAATATGACTTCCTTAGATTTACATTTACAGAGTTGGTACATCGTACCTACCTTTAGGGCTATGAAAAATGCGTCCAGAGGTCGATGTGATTTAGGAAAAGACTGGAGTTAGTGGGTTAATGGTTTTGGTAAATCCACATCAGGCAGTTAATATGTTTCTCCTAATGCTATCATTCTACTGTTTATGATTGTCATGTTGTTCTGACAGCTAATCAAGATCGTTAAAAAGCTACTGGTTATTGATTGTGGTCACTTTATAAGGATTTTTAGTTATAAAGGAAAGTGGATTTGTCAGCATTTCCCTTTCGAATTTATAATTATTTGCTTTAGCAATCGTTCTAATCTCAATATAATCGATATACCAAATCGTGGTGCACACCTCTCGTTCCATTTCATCAGCAGCTTTTTCCGATATGTCCATGTTCCCTTCTATCAATTCTCTTTGAGTAAGTAAGTCGTGGTATCCCAATCTTTTCGCTTCCTCCATTTCTACACTTAGTCTATCATTTTCTTCTTTCTTTTTCTCTTCAACAATTTCTCTGTATTTATCCTAAAAATATTCTTTTATGATTTGCAATCGTTGCACGCGGAGCAGAGCTTAAGTTCATTAGTCACATCAATCTGTTGAAATACCCGCAGAAGTTTTCCGGTGGATGAGGTCTCGTATCGAACCTAAGTGCGTTGCAAGCTAAGATTAAGTAAAGGATTGTCCTTGAAAATGGTCGCAGAATGACTCGAAACCCAATTACCGAAGAGGGTTGTGAATATTTACGTTACTTTGTAGTGAAAATTCGTTTTCCAGACCCGCATTCATTATGCATTGTAAGGAAGGTGGTGCAGCCTAACCAATGACCTGAATATACGATTTGTCTAAGGAAACTGGTTGAATTTTCGCATTACAGATGTTTGCAAGGTATTACATGATCAAGTCGGAAAAAATGTCAATAAATAATAATTGTTCCATCTAAGGTGTCTCTTTGCTAAACGTTATTGGGATTGGGTAACGCGGTGGTAGTGATCCCGCTCATTACGCGGATGGCCCGACCTATCTCGGTGCGGTTTCGACCCAGACCCACCAGCGAACCCACTAAGCCTCTCATCTCTGCGGGGTCGCCTAGCAGATTTGTCTGAGGCAAGTTCAAATCATCCAGTCCATATGGGAACCCACTAGTACGGCTTTATCAGGATTCCAGGGAGAATCTACTCGACCAATATTCACTATATTCTTAACGAACACGAAAGAAATCGTCAACCAGCAACCAAATTCACGAATTCGAGGACCTAAGTGGATAGTGGAGACATCGAAACAGAATGAACGCAAGAAATTTTGGGGTTCACACAATGTGATGCATGTGATATTGGGTGATTCGAGCAGGCGCCAGTAAATCTTTCATTTCTCCCCGACACGTGCGAGAGCAGCTCAGCAAGTCGTGCTCGCCTCGCTATACGGACCCGTTGTGCAACATATTTTTCTTCTACTTTCTTCATGAATAACTCCGATCATGAGGTGAGTGGTCTTCCTGCTGTGCGTTTACCATGCCGAGAAACCCAGTCGTTTACGCCTGTTGTCATTCGGTTGTCATTCATACACATTACATGTGCGGACAACCTTAATTTCGACAATTGGCATGTAGAACCACGTCCTTGATTTTTAATCGTTAACATGGATCGGAGTTTGGGATCAGTTGTCTCGCTTGCATGATACCGAATACTCTTAGCATCGTTCTTTCGACGGCGCGCTCCATAACACTGAGTGATCTTTCATCTTCTCTACGTAGCGACCAGGTTTATAATACAGGGAAAGTCGTGTAACCGAAAAGATTGGTACGGAGTCGGGTATTGTTTGTTCTCTTCACTAAATCCTTGCTACTCTTGAAAGATCCCCAAGCCGCTCGTTTCCTTCTGCTCAGCTTTGGAGCTAAGTCGTTCATATTGATTTCCCGACCTAGACAGACATAACTGGAGCAGTCGGAGATATTGGTTCCGTTGAGCGTGAATGGGCCATACGAAACCAATCCGTTCTTCATGAACATCGTTTTTGTGATATTTAGTCGAAGACCAGTCTTGTCACAGGCTTTATCAAAGTTAGAAAGCATTGGTTCCGCTAATGTTCGGTTTTATAAGGACAATGTCATTAGCAAAACGAAGATGGTGTAATTGTCGATCATCGATTTTCACTCCCATGTTGTCGCATTCCAGTGTTCGCATGATGTTCTGGAGTGTGGCGGTAAATAATTTTGGCGAGATGGTATTGCCTTGCCTAACCTCTATTTTGACGTCGATGTTAACATCGTTGTAGAATGGTGAAATCTTGGTTGTGAAATTTTTGTACCTTGTCTATCGAGGGCTTCCATGACTGCTTCTATCTCAATTGAATCAAAGGCCTTCTGTAAGTCGATGAAAGTGACACAGAGCGGTCTTTTGTACTCTCGCGATACTTCAATGTTTGTTATCGCATGGACGTGGGTCATCGCACTAAATCCTTTTCGAAATCGTGCTTGCTCACATGGCTGTCCTTCATCCAGTGTTCTGTCAGTCCTGTTTAGGATGACTCGAGTGGAAGGTTAGTAGACGATAGACAGCAAGCAGATTGGGCGGTAGTTGTCGATGTCTTGGAGGTTACCCTTCTTGAACATTAACATGGTCTTATTGGTCTTCCATTGAGTAGGGACCTTCATTTCAGACAGGTAACCTGTGAAGAGCCGGGCCAGTGTGTTTTCGAGCACTGGCGGAAGGTTCTTCAGGTGTTCAGATCTTATCCTGTCCGGACCTGGCGCTGTTTGATTTTTTACCCACGAAATGGCATGTTGGATTTCGGAAAGGAGAATCGGCGGTACAACATATCCATCCTTCTTTATTTCATATGACGAGAGGTGGCCGTGGCTAGGGAAGGAATCTGAGTAGTATTCGTGAATGATTTTTTCCATTGCCTTTCTGGACGCTGTAACTGTTCCATCGTTTTCATACGCCTTAGTCTAAACCTAGAACTGGTGAAGTCTCGTAAAAGTGATGATTGAGGGGTTCAGTATAACCAGGGCAAATATCTTTGAAAAAATAACCTGAATTACAACGCTACAGATACAAAATAAGATAAAGTTATGGGTTACGCGCATCGAACTTGTGATTTCCAGAATTAAATCACTAAACACGAAAAGCTGATCGTTGTCACAATGAAGCAGAACTGGTTAAACGATGGAATGATGAAGTTAAAATTAGACCACCATCTGGTGTTTACTGTCCAGAGCACGTTCGAATCACAGAGGATATGGATGTTAACTTTAATGCGTAGTTTTTTTTTTTTGAATTTTACCACATACTGGGACCATGTGGACCGCACGAACAAGCTTTGTCAACTCATGAAGGAAGACTTAAGAGACGAAAATCACAATCATTACAATCACGTTAGGCTTTAGAAACGCGGGTTGTCGGTATCCGAAATCACAATCATGACATAATGAAGCATCACGTTCTTCATTTCAGAGATAATAGATAAGGGATAAAGAGTTTGGCGTTGATCAGTACCTGAAGGAAGCGCAGTGTGTTCGACTCCACTGCACATCGTAAAAGGAGTTCAGGTCAAATTTAGCTTATGTAATAATTACGCAGGATTACCGACTTGTCAGTACACTGTTTTTCATCTTCTCAGACAAGTCTGCTAATTGAAAGAAGGATTAAGAGTAGAGGTCGTCGGATCGAACCAGTGTTCCTATGGGTATTGCAGGGTTCTCCTAACCACTGCGTTACACATTTCGGAAAGATGCAATGGTAAAAAATTTGCTAGAACTCACACTGTAAAGCTCATATTAACGTTTCAATACACCATTAAAAAAAGTGAAACGGATTGAGTTGCAAAATTTCTGTCTTGTCGTCACCTGAATCTCTGCTGTTTGCCGCTCGAGGATCTCATTCAGGCGTTCAAGTTTTCGGGACCTAGAAGATAACGAGTTGAATAGGAGACGGAAATAGATGGAGTGTTAAGAGCAAGTAGAATTCTATGTTTTCCTGTTGATTCATCACGATTTCTTTTTTTGACTGAAAATCAAATTAAACGAGGGCTGCTAATTCTTGTGCAGTTCTGTTGTGGTCATAGCGACTAGTAGAGAAACGAGACCTTAAGTGATTGAAAATGACATAATTCTGTTGACGTAGATTAAATACAATTTATACTTTGGAAATTTTCGATCTTTGATTTCCTAGAATGGGATTCACTTAAGATTTTTGCTAGCGAGTCAGCGATAACCTCTGAATAAAGTATGAGAATGTGGAAATTCATGAATCTGGAGCGAAACGCATGAAGAAAATCGTTACCAACAGCAGTGTGATGGAGAGGAGAAAACAAAGTTTACACAAAAAAAAACAGTTGTCGGTGAAGGATGCTTTCTAGATTGCTTAAGTTTGCTAGAATTATCTAATTTTTAATTAACGCCTGTCTCACCTGACCATTTCTTTGTCGTCGAGTAGATTTCTGAGGAGTTCTTGA